TGGAGGCAGTCCCTTCCACCTATCACCAACTCGTTCGCTTTCCAACCAAGTATGGAGTAGAGGAGATTCGCGGAGACCAAGTGGCTGCCAAACACTACTTCATTGCTGCCATGAAAACCAAACAAGTCTGCGACCAAGTGCAGATGGTGGAAGTACCTGACCAGCCAGTTTTGGAAGACGTCGGCAGGGTGCCGACCGAGAAGATGGTAGAAGACCTAGAGACGGTCTTGGTAGAAGAAGGAAACCCAGACAAGTTTTTACTGCTCGGCACTTCCCTCACTGTTGGAGAGAAAGAGCAATTACTGGCTCTACTCTGTAAAAATATCGAAGTGTTTTCCTGGTCAGCCTATGACACTCCTGGGTTGGACCCCAATTATGCTTGTCATCGACTCAACGTCCAATTAGGAGCGCGGCCGCTTGTCCAGAAGAGTAGACGGTCATCCACGCAACACACCGATGCAGTGATCGAAGAGGTTGACAAACTATTAGCCGCTGAAGTCATTCGAGAAGTGCAGTACCTAAAGTGGCTGCCCAACACTGTCGTGGTGAAGAAGAAGAATGGAAAATGGAGAGTCTGCGTTGATTTCACTAGCCTTAACAAAGCTTGCCCCAAGGATAGCTTCTCTCTTCCACGAATAGATCAACTTGTTGACGCAACGGCTGGACATGAGCGCATGAGCTTTCTAGACGCCTACAGTGGCTACCACCAGATCCCCATGTTCGGTCCTGACTAGGAGAAAATGGCTTTCATTAGCCCTAGAGGCACTTACTGCTACAAAGTGATGCCCTTCAGCTTGAAGAACGCTGGTGCGACCTACCAGCAAATGGTCACCAAAATGTTCAAGGACCAGCTCGGTAAAACCATGGAAGCATACATTGATGACATGGTCGTCAAAAGCAAGTTGGCCGAACACCATCTAAGGGACCTTGAGCAAGTGTTTAGAATTTTGAAGACTCACAAGCTTCGACTAAACGCCTCAAAAATGCCTTTGGAGTAGGATCAGGGAAGTCTTTGGGGTATATGGTGACTAGACGGGGCATTGAAGCCAACCCAGACCAAATCAAAGCCCTCCAAGACCTCAAAGCGCCTACAAAGGCTAAGGAACTCCAAAAACTTGCTGGCATGGCTGCAGCACTTAACCGTTTTATTAGTCGGTCCTCTGATCGGATGAAGCCTTTCTTCCAACTTCTAAGGAAGAAAACCAGTTTTGAATGGGGAAGCCAGTGCTCTAAAGCACTAGAAGATTTGAAGAAGTATTTGTCCTCTCCTCCCCTTCTATCTACACCTGTCACCAACGAAGAGCTTTTCCTTTACTTGGTTGTTTCTGATCATGCTGTTAGTGCAGTGCTAGTCAGAGAGGATGGAAAGGAGCAAAAACCAGTGTATTATGTTAGCAAGACACGCTTAGATGCCGAAACTAGATACTTGCCATTGGAGAAATTGGCATATGCACTATTAATTGCCTCTAGAAAGCTTGTTCACTACTTTCAAGGACATACCATCAATGTCCTCACTGAATTCCCTCTCAAGTCGGTGTTCAGTCGAGCAGATTTCTCAGGCCGAACAACAAAGTGGGCGGTGGAGCTTGGAGGGTTTGATATCAAGTTCCAACCTCGAACAACAATCAAAGCTCAAGTCTTGGCAGACTTTGTTGCAGAATTCACTCCGGGACCAGTTGTCCCCTCCGAAGGGAGCTCGGCTTTGGTCACTATGACTGCCCAGCATAAAGGGCAATCCCCAGCCGAAGCATGGAAACTTTTTGTTGGAAATGTATGGAAGCTGTTTGTGGATGGCTCTTCTAACCAAAAAGGGTTAGGAGCAAGAGTTGTCCTTATTTCTCCTGAAGGATTCATGTGGGAGCAAGCCATTCGATTGGGCTGGAAAGCTTCTAACAACGAAGCAGAGTATGAAGCTCTACTAACCGGCCTGCGAAGTGCCGAACACTTCAACACGGAGGAGCTACTCGTCTTTAGTGATTCTCAATTAGTGGTCAACCAACTCTTTGGAGTTTATGAGGCTCGCGATGAGTGGATGGCCACTTATGCAGAACAGGCCAAAAATTTGATCAGAAAGTTCCAAGCCATCAGAGTCGAGAAGATTGGCCGAGAGGGAAATGGTCATGCTGACGCTTTAGCTTGCTTGGGTTCCTCGGTCGACTCCAGAGACGACCGCAAAATATGGGTGGAATATGTACCCCAACCAAGTATTCAACTAGTCGAAATGGTCCTTTGCACTGACTTGGGCCCGAGTTGGATGGACCCACTCTTGGCCTTCTTGAAGAATGGCAACCTTCCTAAGGACAAAAAAGAAGCGCACAAGACAAGGCATAGAGCCGTGCGGTTTTGGTCTCCCCATCTGGCAAGCTTTACAAGAAGTCCTACATGGGCCCTTATCTACTCTGTGTTCATCCAAGTCTGGTGGAAGATGTGCTTTATGAGATCCATGATGGAATCTGTGGGAGTCACACTGGTCGTCGGTCCCTCGCACACCGAGCCCTAACACATGGGTATTGGTGGCCACGCATGCAAAAGGAGGCCCAACAGTATGTCCGCAAGTGTGACAAGTGCCAAAAGTTTGCTCCTCTCATTCACCAGCCAGCCAAAGCTTTAACCCCCCTCACCAGTCCTTGGCCATTCGCTCAGTGGGGCTTAGACATTATTGGACCATTAGTTCGGGGAACTGGGAATAAAAGGTTCTTCATCGCCGCAACTGACTACTTCACCAAGTAGGTGGAGGTAGAGGCCTTGTGCAAGATCGAAGAAGCAGACACTAAGAGTTTTGTTTGGCGCAATGTTGTGACTCGATTTGGCATTCCCAGAATCCTTCTCTCTGACAACGGTACACAATTTGATGGCAAGATCTTCAGGAGATTTTGCACTGACTTAAAGATAGAGTTCCGAAACTCCACTCCGGCCTACCCACATGGCAATGGCCAAGCTGAAGCGTCTAATAAGACGATCATTGACGGGATAAAAAAGCATCTTGAAAAAGCCAAGGGCAAATGGGTGGAAGAGATACCAAATGTCCTCTGGGCTTACCGAACTACTCCTCGTTGGTCAACTAGTGAGACACCTTACTCTCTTATTTACGGGATGGAAGCAGTCATCCCTTTGGAGGTTGGCCTTCCTACCATCCGTTCTGAGATCTTTGAGCAGACAGACAATGATGAAGCCATCGCCCAAGCTCTAGACATGGCCGAAGAACGTAGGGAGGGTGCCCTCATTCGATTGGCGGCTTACCAGCAGCAACTCACTAAGAGCTTCAACAAGAATGTGCGTCCAAGGCAATTCCTACCAGGTGACTTGGTACTCAGGGAGGTAATGGATCACAAGAAAGTTCCTAGAGAAGGGAAACTCGGTGCTAACTGGGAGGGGCCCTACAAGGTTACTTCAACACTTGGCAATGGCGCATACCATCTGGCTGACTTATCAGGGAAGGCAATCCCTAGACCATGGAACGTCGCCAACCTAAAGAAGTACTTCCAGTGATGTGATTCTTAAGATGAAGTACTTACAGTAATGGATTTCTCAGAACATGCCTTGATGTAATCAAAAGTTACAAGTATTAATGAATGGAAATTTATTTTACAGTTTGTTCTTATTTATTTGTGTTGTACATTTATGCTCGGTGGAGCACATTAGCCACGGGTCTTAACTCAAGCCAATCTCGGATGCTCAACCCTTTAGTTGGAACGGGGTGCCAAGTGGTATAACTTGGTGGAATTTGTGCCAAGAATCGTTACTTAAAGCACGGTCCATACTCATAATTCGTGCTCGAAGAAGGGCAAAATTACACTCTACGAGGGGTTAAATCAAGCCAAAACTTGACCAAGTCAAGTGGCAGCCAAACAACATGATAAAAAACTTTCACAACTTTTTCTCTACTAAGGCATGAACCATGGTCTAACCAAACAGATGGCCTGCTAGGCCACAGAGCTCATGCTCAGCTGGGGGCATCAAAACCTCAATTTTTTTTAAGGCAAGAAGCCTGATCAGACCGAACATATGGCATGCTAGGCCACAGAGCCTCTGCTCGGCCGGGGCCAAACATTACATACAAGCAAAAATTGAAGATAAGCAGTTCAACAATTGCGAAAATGTAAAAACGAGTGCATTGAAGTGAAACTTCAATTACAAAAATAGTTCGGCCTTACAAAAGAAGAGGTCCAGTCGACCGAACTCCAAGACAAATAAAAAAGTACAAGTTGCGAGTTCAACATTTGGCAAATTTAGAAGGCACTTCATTACAAAAGGGAGCTCGGTTTGTATCATAGCCTATCCAACCGAGCACTAAAACAAAAGTTGAAGATACTTCATTAACTTCCAAGTTTCATTACAAAAGAACTACTAAAGCAGAAGTGAAAGAAAAACTCGAGGCAACCTAACAACTTACTCCTCGCGTTGCTCCTCGTCGTAGTGTCCATCCTCGCGGTGCTCCTCTTCTGTAGGATTGACAGTCTGTCTAACCAAGGAAGAGCTTGGCAGGAAAGGAGAAAGGCCAGAAGGATCAACATCCGTAGCTCCACCTTGGCGAGGCCTTCTCATCCTAACCCTTACAGCGGTTTTCGAAGGGACTGGGATATCGTCAATATCATAAAGAAGAGAAGCCTCTTCCACCTTAGCAGCGTGCAGAGCCCCAGTCCAACCCTTAGTAAAGATCTTGTCCCTCAGCTTCAAAATCTCCTCCGAATAGGTCTTTTCGGTCTCGTCATAGCCCCTCTGTTCGGCCTCGTCCACCATCCCTTGATAATTAGCCTTTAAAGACTTCAGAGCAGCATCGGCATCTGCAGCCCTCCGCTCGGCCATGAACATAAGTGCTTCGGCCTTTTTCTTTGCATCTTCCTTCTCCTTTAGATCCTCTTCGGCCGCCTTCAAGGACATATCAGCATCAGCCAACATGTTGATTGTCTTAACCTTCTCTTGCTCCTCACGATGCTGCCTTTCATCCATGATGTGCATCCTCTGAATGCACTGCACCAAACCAAAATGTCATATTCTCAACAACCAAATTTAAGTAAATGACAAAGACATAAAAGAAGACTTACTGCGGTTAGCATCTGCACCGAACCCTTGATCAACACGTCGCTTGAAATGTTTTGCTCTGCCATATCCAAAGGTAGTAGCAATGCCTTTGATAAGTCAAAGGCCAAGTCGCTTGAGTAGATTGTGCTATCCGATGTAGTGATTGCTCGGCCGTTATGCTCCAAGGGAGGCATCCATTCTTCAACTGAGCCCTGCTCATTAGAACCCCCAGCAACTTCTTTACCTTTGGACCTCCTCCTTTTTGAGGCCCTATTAGCAGGAAGAGCAAGAGTAGCAACGGTAGGAGGAGAAACAACAACATGCTTTTTTCCACCCTTAGATCTCTCAATCGGTGGAGAAGAAACTCGGACCGTCGAAACAGCTAGATGGTCCTCATCATTAGATCCAAAGACTAAGGCATCAAGATTGTGCTTTTGGCGACGAGCCATTTCGCTTGCTAAGTCTGGCGACGGAGAGTAGCCTCTACTGAGTGATCCACTTGATGAATAAACAACAGCGGAAGAGGAAGCTCCGGTGGTATGGCCAACTTGTTCTTCGGTTTCAATCTCAAATGAGTCCCTCGAGAAGTTGTTTACTTTGGGTTTCCATTGGATGACATGTCTGTAAGTTCGCACATAGTTAAGCAAATGCGAGGCCGACCGGTCTTCGTACCTTAGTGCAACTTTGATATCCCTCGGATGCTCTTTTTCTAGCCTCCTTTTTAGTTTCTTTGAACCTGCAAGTACGAACAATAGCACTTAAAAAAAAAAAAATCACAGGCGATAAGCGAATGGATTAAAGGAAGCTAAAATAAAGAATGACCTGGGTGGCCGTTCTCTCGTGGAACCCGCTTCGATCGGTCCACCTCCTCGGCCGCAATCTCCCAATTACCTCCGACTTGAAGGAAATCAGAGCAATGCTTGTCATTATCAGGAAGTTTAGTAACGAGTTGGAGGTCCAACGACCGAACTTTGAGATAATAGGTTTTACCGCCTTTATTACAACATAAGGAGTAACAATGAAGGATATCCCAAATACCCAAATCCAAGTCTAAGAGGTTGTTCAAGACCGAGATACCGTTTACCACTCTAAATGTGTTCATTGATATTTGCATTGGTGTAAGTTCAAAATAAGAAAAGAATCGACGCAACAAAGGGTTCAACGGAAACCTAACACCCCCCTCTATGATGGAGGCAATTGAGAAGGGCATTGTGGTGCTCGTACACGACCGATCCGCGCCTACCGCCGCCAATGTCAACGTGACATCATTGGGAATGTTATATCTTCGGCAGAACTCATCCATTCCCTCCGGGGTGTCCACTAGGTTCCGAAACTTACCCATGGGAGGTGCGACGTTCCACCAAACAACTACACTAAGGATGACTTGCAAGGTTGGAGGTACAATGACCGACCGAGAAATCGTATGCTAGACAACTCTTCATGTTACACTTAGCCAAAAAAGTAATGGTGAAGGTGGAAAATAAATACATGGATTCTAGAACTTACGGTGTCAAAATCAAGAGGAACTCGATGGCGAGCATCTTCGATGAAGTAATCCCATTGTGGCAACCAAGAGAAAAATTGTGAGTTGCAAAAAAAAAGAGAAAAAAAAAGAGAAAAAAAAATTAAAAAAAAAAGAGAGCAAAAAAAAAAAAAAAAGAAGATAAATAAATAACAGTGGAGGACTTACAAAACAGTGTCAACAACATGAATCAATAATTTACAGTGGCAAACCCACTGCGAGGAATGGAGTATTTTTGGTGAAAAAGCAGCTTTGGAATAGAGGCACAAGAAACAGTGCTACAAGCCATGGGCGACGAGACAGCGGTGGGTTCATTCCATCGAAAATGCACTGCGCAAGACATCGGAGAAGCCTGGACCAACATGAAATAGAGAAGAGATTGGTCTCTCTAATTTGAAAGTCTAGAGAGAGAAAATGGGAAAACCAAAACGTTGGAGGAAGGTATCAACTTTCTGGAAAGAAATTCAGAATTTATAAGAAGAGTCCCATGGTCAAGCTCTCATATTTTAAAAATTGTTTTAAAGTTCCAACGAAAGAAAGCATGAGAATAAAAACAAAGTCAGAGCTTTGTTCCAAAATGGGTACTGTTGCACCTGGAGTCAAAAAGTGATGCAGCACGGAAATGGAAAAAATAGGTCTGGAAATTCAAATTTCTAGAGTGAGAAAGTGTTAAATAAGGTGGGTTTGCTTGTCTTCATTTAAAAACTCTGAAAGGGGCTTGCCTTCACGTCATGTTGACAGCCCCCAAACTAGTCAAATGTAGACGCGTGATGGCTCGACAGTCGGAGTAAAGACATTAGTCAGGGCCGAGCTCGAGGTCTGGTGGCAAGGCCAAGATCACGGACAACCGAGCTGCGACGCTCACAGACCGGTCGGCTGAAGCATCTTAGACCGAGCTAAAGGGCACTTGAAATAACGATAAGTGTGAAATTGGCCCAGCTCTAAACTCTTTAGGC